GGCCTGTGGGGGCCCCGCCTCCCCGTCTCCCGAGTCCCATAAAGGCGCAGACAACACGAGCGGTTCAGTCAAAACAGTCATGTGCAGGAGCCGACAAACAAACAAAAGCCCTTATTTATTTATTTAGTTCACACACCCAGATAAGGAGGCGCCTTTTGTGCACATAATTTCACACACATCAGAAAGGAGGAGATGCGGATGCTCCCCATAGCCCCCGTGCCCCGGACAGCCGGCCTGGCCTCATGAATAATCGTGTGGCCCAGCCTGGGCATTTCCATATTTAAATTGGGCAGCAGCGTATGATTAATTAAGAAGGAAAAGGCAAAAAGGAAGAAAGCAGTGGGGGTGGGGCGCTGGACACTCTGGCCAGTGCGACATGCCAAGGTGCCTGCTGCAACTTAACTCCTCCAGTGCCGGGCCCAAGGCGGCGGCGGTGGCACAGCTCAGGGGGACGCTGACCGACGGTGCCCTCTGCGGGCTCCAGCCTTGGGTGCATGCCCTGGCCCACCCTCCCATATCAAAGGCTACCCCAGCTCCAAATGCTGCTCTTGGAAAATTCTCTCATTTTCTTATTCAGAGCAGCTCCCCACACCCAGGCCAAAATGTGTGCTGTGGCCCAAACCCCTGCAGCGCGACACTTCCAGCTGCTGAGCCTCCGCCTTTGCCATGCGCACCTGCCCTCTGTGAGCAAGCTGCAGGTCCCCTCCTCCTATGGCCATCTCACGGCCCCTCTGTCCTGAGAGCAGCAGGCCTGTCCTGCCAGTGTGGCAGGAAGAGCTGTCGCCTGTCTGGAGAGAACCAACGGCTACTTACTGGATAAGTGAGAGAGGAAAGGCCGTGTCCCTGGAGGGAGCAGGCGGTTCCATGCAGCCCTGGGCTTGGAGTCCAGCCACCACCAAGGTCCAGCCCTGTCCTTGCCAGGGTGCAGCCTCGGGCAAGTTTTCTAGGCTCTCTGGGCCTCAGTTGACCCACCTATAAACAGGAAGGGCAGTGGTGCTCACGGTCCTGCCTCATGGTGTTGGGGAGCAAGAGCAGCTCCTGGCTGGACAGAGCCTGTCCGAGGTCCTAGATCCTTTGCCTGGTGATGGGCAGAAGTGGGGACCAGTCGGGCTTCTGACTGGAAGCTCCCCAGCCCCAGAACAAGTCCAGATTGACCCAGGACGTCGGGCCCTGCACCTGGTGAGGCCCAAGGACAGTGGTCGGCAGTTTGTGTAGAAATCAGCCTGAATCTTTGTGGCCATGCTGGGGTGGGGAGGTGTCCATCTTCCCTTGGGCATGTGCAGTGCTGTGTGGGAGGGGAGGGCTCTGGGCAGGGTCTGTTGCCAGCAAGGGCCTCCCAGGGTTCTCTGGGGTCTTGTAACATCTCATCCCCATTTTGCAGATGGGAAAACCTAAGTACAGAGAGGTCAGCAATATGCCAAAGAGCACCCCAGGTGGTGGCATCAGGATTTGAGCTCAGAATGGCCCAGCTCCACATGCAGGAGCTTTCAACCACCACACTGTGCACTGCCTGGCCCCTGTCTAGGTGTGACTTCATGTTAGAGAAAGATTCTTTCCAGAGGGGCCGCTAAGCGCTCTAACAACAGACCATCCAGCCTCCCCCACAGACTGCCCCACAGATCCGGAGTGTGCGGTGCACCTGCAGGGTGCAGGACACAGGGGCAAGGTGGAAGGTCAGAGCAGAAGAGCTCTCCAGTAGCTGTGTGTCTTTGGGAAAATGAATACCCCTTTCTGAGGCTGTTTCTCCAGCTTGACAACCTCAGATGTAATTCCAGGCACTTCTCAGCTGCCCATCAGTGAGTGCATAGGCCTGTGCCCCAGGACTCTCGGGGACCATTGACATCTCGGCACCTCTGCCCTCCTGCTCATGGGACAGTCCCAGGCACACCTACTTTTCTGCCAACCACAAGGTTTCACGGGTTCTCTGTAGAAGCCAGTCTCCTCCTTGGACAAGCTGCGGCTCCTCTGAGAGCTTCAGCTTTTGATCTGAAAGATGAGAAACTAATCTTATAGGCCACGGGGTCTGGGGAGGAGGAGAAGGAGGCCCAGGCCAGCAGCACCAAACATGCAGAGGTCCTGCCCAGGCAGCCGCTCCCTCCTCCCTCCCTTCTCCTGTCACTGAGCGGGGGCAGTCTTCAAGCGGGGGCCCCTCCAGGTGGAGACCCTCCACCCCAGGTGGGAAAGGAGGGTGGGCATCTGTTGGAGGACCCTGGGCCTGGCCTGTGAGCAGGGCTGAGGTCTCCATTTCCCTCACCCTTCAGGGGGTGACCTCATAACCACGTGGATCCTGAAAAGCACAAGACCTTTCCCAGCTGTGGCCAGAAGATGAGTGAGAAGCTGCGGGGGGCCGAAAGCCGACGAATGCAGGCGGCACCGAACCAGGAGAAGCAGGGCAACGGATCCCACCTGGAACCTCGGGAGGGAGCGGGCCCTGCTGGCCCCTTGATCTGAGCTCAGAGAGACGGCGTCAGACTCTGACCTCCCTAACTAACAAGCAATTAACAAACACACTCTCAGAGCTCGAGGTGCAGCTCAGTGATATAGCGCACACTTAGCATCAAAAAAGGCCCGCGCTCCATCCCCAGCACCATATTGAAAAAGAAAAGGAGAAATTTGCGTCGTTCAAGCTGGTACATCAACAGCAGGTTGCCATGGCAGCCCAGGACTCCAGTGGGCCTTCCCTCCTCCCAACATGCCCAGATGCCTCAGCAGGGGGAGCAGGGTGCACGGACACAGCCCTGCACACAGCCCCTGGGCATGGGTGGCACTGGGGGAGGCCTGGAGTCTATGTGGGGCCAGCACACCTCATCCCTGTCCTGAGGGGCCTTTGCAGGTGGGCAGACCCCTCCACAGAGTTCTCACCCCCTTGCCCACGTCCTTGTCCTCTTCATTTACTGAGGGCAGCCTGTGAGTGGGCACCATGCCAAGTGCTATCTCATTCCGGCGCCAGCCTGACAGGCTTGGTGGTCCAGGCAGCCCATCTTGCTACCCATGGACTCTCAAGTCCTGTCTATGGTCTGGCAGGACAAACGGCTAATCTGCATAGTGATCACTCACATGTCCTCCTTACAGAATCTCCTGTGGTCCACATGGAGGTCCCTGGGCCAGGGCTGCTGCTCGGGGAGCCCAGGTCCTCATCCACAAAGAGGCCGGTTACAGATGCCAGGGCTGCAGCCCTAGAACTGCGTAAGAGGGTCAAGACCCAAGTCCTTGGGCAAAATGGGATTTCACTGACAAGTCTAGGAAACTTCTGGAACTAAAAGTTCTCCCATACCCAGAAGGAGCAGCACCAAAGCAGGGTTTTTCTCCCTTAGGAAACAAATGCGCACACTTGTCCTTCCAGTGCTGCTTCTAGAAGGGAAAACTGAAGATGCTCGGGAGGACTCTGCACGTGTAATGAGGGGTTGGTTGAGGAAACCCTCCAGGGGGAACGCGAGCAGGGGTTGGAGTCAATTGGGGAACAGGATCTTCCGAGGAAAGCAAAGGTCTGTGCTCAACAGTCAGAGAACTAGCAGAAGGCCAACCACACACAACAAGACGCTCAGCCGCTGACGTTGAAACACTATCACTATGT